TTCCAAGATTATCCAAAATTTTCCAAAGTTTTTCCCTTAAGATGAACTGATCTCTAATCATGAGTCATGAAATGGGCATTTTCTTTCTCAGACTTTAATTGAATGAATATATCTATTATTTAAGAAGACAAGAGGCAGAATTTAAAAAAAAACAAAAGAAAAGAAAAGAAAACTGCAGAAAATTTAAAGAATTTCTCATTAGTGAAGATGATGTTTGGTATTTCAGATAAAGATGAATTCTTCCACCACTGCTCCTGTCAGGGGTTGCTGAGTGGATGAGAAGGAAGAAGGAACCCAAACGCAGGACTCGCAGGTGGGTGAAGACTGGTGAAGGTTTATTATAAGGAGTGGATGAACAGAGGGTGAACGGACACTGACTGGCTGGATCACTGAATGGCTGACTGAACTAAGAGAACACACGGGAAGGATAACATCACACGAACATCAATGACACGACCAAGAACTGGTGAAACCGAGGAACTTAAATACACAGGTTGAATGACGACAATGATTGGAAACAGGTGAGTACAGAGCTGAACATAATCTGACTAATGACACGAGAGACAAGCTGACACGGGGAAAAAACAGGAAGTGAAAACATTGATGTGGCAAAACTGAAAACACTGGGTCACCGACCCAGGAACCCTGACAGCTCCTTAGTACATTCATTATACACAATTTTAACTTTTACATTTAAAACCTTGAAAACATGATTTTACAGAAGCAAAACTAATTTTGCAATAAATTTTATCTTCAAAAAAAAATTAAGATAAAAATGAATGAAGTCTTTTAATTAAGCATTAATAGACGTTAGGCATTAAAGCAACACAATGACAGGAGTAGCTGCCCAGATACTTAGCTTAAGGAGAACTTGAGACCTGCTTTTTCAAATGATGCAGGAAAAACTGCTACATATAACAGTACACAACCAGCAGAATTATAGTGACTGTAACATGTATTCAGACAAAAAAAAAGTCATATCACTCTTGATGAAGAGACGCTGGCTGGTGTGCAAAGAGTCTTGTCAGTATAAAAAAAACTGCAAATGTAGTCTTGGTTACTTTTACAAACAAAATCTGAGCAAGTGACGAATTGTGTCTCATGTGTCTTGCATGTTATGCAAATCCATTTCTCAGAAAGTGCACAAAAAGGAGTTGCAGTTAAAAAGTGTGTAAACGGATGAATACGCAGATCTTTTTAAGGTTTATTTTACTTTATCTTTATAAAATACTTTTGTCTTTGTCCCGTAGGATGATAAAACTCCTTTTTTCTCCCTTATGAAGTTGCTTGACTTCATTCTCCTCAAAGTTCAACTCTAAGATTTAGCTCTGACGGTGAGGTGCTTTGATATTCCCATGATGAATAATTTTATGAAAGAGCCGATTGTTAATGTTCAGCCTGTGATATTAATGCTAAAATAAACATTCTCCAACTGAAGCTTTACCACCGCGGCTCATTTTTACATGACAATGAATGGTGAATGGTCTGGAGTCTGTTTTTTATTCCTGCTCAATTTATTATTATTCATGTGAGGTGCTGTGGCTAAATCTTTCTCATCTGGTTGAACATGAGTCTTTCTTCCTGCTAGAGTCAGGATTTAGACCAATATTGAGGCTGCAGGGATCCAAGTATTCCTTGAAAAGCCTTTCCTCTTTCATCTTATTGTTACTTTTCCATCTGCGTGGCCACTGTCTTCCATTTCTTTCATTTGCTCGCTTGTTGCTTGTCTTTTTGGTCAGAGGCTGGTTAATGTGGGTTTATCCAGCCATCCAGGCGATTAATATGGGCTTATCCAGCCGTCCTCCACCTATCCACTGAGTAATGATTCGCACACCTATCCAGCAATTTTAACATGATAACATGCACATGAAGACACCTACCCACCTCCTTTTTTCTCTGTCAGTACCACATTGGAGGGCAGATGCCAAAAGTGGCAAAGGGGGTAAGCTACGTGTAATAATTTCAGCTTTGCCTATGAATTAAAACACAGAGAAAGGGTTTACTTGCTCTCCTCTCAGAGAGAAACTTTGATTTCATGGTGTTGATTATTTTTCTTCGCAGTCACTCAAGGATGAAGCACAAGGATTCATCAATTGTTCCCCTTCCAGATTCACCACAAAGGAGCTTCTTGGTTTCAAAAAACAACAACATGTGGTTTCCCCCACTCTTTCTTTCTTACCTTCTTTTTCAGAAAGTAAGAAAGAAAGGGGCCTGAAAGCACTTTGTTCCACTTATTGAGATGTGGCAGTCACATACAGCAGACACAAGCTTGCCAAAAACAAGTTCTTACTCTGTTGAAGGCAAAGAAACCTACTGACTGTAAAGATTGATCAGCGCAATAAAATTGTTGGTGCTATGTTGCTCTGAAGAGGCAACAAATGTCAAATGTAAATAAACAGAAACTTTCTAACTGTGGCAGGTTTTCTTTTTCCTGCATAGCATCCTTCTTTAATCCTGATGAATAAAGATCCTCATTTCCTTAAATATATGGAAACAGGAAAACTTGGCTAAACTTCTGACAGGATAACTTTTGTTTTGTTCTCTGTGATCAATAAAATGCAACTTTTGATTTAAAAGTACACACACGCACATAAGAAAAAAAAATTTTCTAATCAGATGTCTAGGTTTGTGTTACTCGTATTTGAACTAGAACATTTGCTCTATAGAGAACTGTTCATCATGGCCAGCTTCCAGTAGACGTGGCATGGCTCAAGGATCCATTTTGGGTCCTCTTCTGTTTTCAGTTTACAAGTACCCCTCAGCTCTGTCTTTTAGAAACATAATATTTAATAGCACTGTTATACAGAAAATATTCTAATTGTAAGTGACAGTGACTATTCTGTGAACAACCTCTTGAAATGTTGTAATGATTTCAAATAGTCTTAAGTCTTAACTAAATTTCCAGCAAAGCTCAGGTAAATTTATTTTGCCCCAACCCAGCCTCAAAGTCACTGCCATCAAGGCCCTTGGTCTTAACTGTAGATGAAAATCATTATGCTTTGTTGTTGACTTTGTTGACTTTGAACAGTCAAATCAGTAGTGTTGTGAAGAACAACTGTGATTCATACTAAATTAAAGCCAGTTTTGCCTCTAACGAGCTTAGAAAGAATGATCCATGCCTTTATCACCTCTTGGCTGGACTATTGTAACCCCCAGATTTTATTATTCCACTCATTTTCAATTGCACATGGGTCAAAACTTCTTCCATTTTGCACTGAGTAGCTGCATGGGTCCGAGGTCACTGAGGTCATCCCCCCCAACAGCTTCTCTTAGTGTCACCTACTCATCTAAACAACTAAAAGAGAGTATGATATCTCTAATATTTCCATCTGACATGAGGACCTGTCCAACAGCTGGATTTGAATCATTTTTAAAGGCATACGTATTTTATATTTGTATTTAGTCATGCTTTGAGGTCAAGGTTTTGTCAATCACACTGCATGTATTTTTACTTCTGTTTTAATAAAGTTATTGTTTGTTCTTTTGTGATTTTTGTAACACACCCAAAAAAAAGAAAAGATTCTAGGTCTGACCAACCGTCTCAGCCGTGGGCAAAAACATGACAGTCAATAAAATTCTAAAAGATAATTTATTGACAAATAATCAAAAGATAAAACAGTCCAGTGTCCCATTTATGAATCAAGTAAAACACACAGTCCCAAGGCCAGAGCCAGCTATGCCACACTGCCAGTTGCACTCCACGTGTTGCCTTCATCAAGGTTAGAAGTTGTCCTCTGAGACCCACCACCCTGCAAGTATATAGCCAGTGGTCACTCCAGCCTCTGCAACTCTGCTGCCTTTAGGCTGTGGCATATAATAGGCCCTGGCCTGCACAGAGAGACAAAATGACACCTTCACTATAGAATTCATAGCGCAAAACCCATCCATCCCAAACATATCCGATTTCATCACATTACATACCTGCACACAGAGACAAAACGGCACAGCAGTGTTTGTAGTGTGCGCTATAAGTAGACCAGTGTATCAGTGCAATCAAGTACACCTGCCTCTAATTAGTCCAACCCCATTCCAGCCATTGGCTCACCAAAAATGTGACACACACACACACAACCACTCCCAACCCAGTGCAACTTCACACAATAATATGGAGCTGAATTAACACAGGCACATTAGTCTACCACGTTACAATTTTTCCAAGGGTTTTTTTTTTACTCAATTTCTTTTATTATTGCAAGTTTATTGCTATTGTAATTGTTACTGTGGCTTTCATTGTTATCATGTTATTTGTTTATGTGGGGGGTTTGTTTTGAAAATTGATTTTTGGAAATCTGGAATGCAGATTCATCTGCCTGGAAAACACACTGGGGGGGCATCCTGTTGTTTTAATAGTGAATGTTGAAAACATTTATTGACATAAAAACTGTGCTTAAACAGCATGTTGAAATTAATTTAAGTAAGGGGTAATTTGGAGTTTCTTTGGTGCTGGCTTGGTTAAGTCAGGGGTGGGTGGGAATCAGACTCATGTTTACACCTTTATTTGTCAGGCCTCACAGCCACAGATCCTAGCCTGGGATTTATACTCAAAGCTATTCTGTGGATACATTTTTCAGTTTAGTTTAGCTCATATCAAGAGCACTTCAGACTCGTGTGTCACCATGCTCTCTCATGTCCAAATGACACAATTTACTCTCAAATCTACTCCAGTCAAATTTTACTTAACTTTTGTTTAAATATACCAGGAAAAAAAGTTTGTAGCATGCTGTTTTTTGTATACTTCTAGTAGTTCTTCTCTGTTCAGGCAATGTAGGGAAATCACAAACTGCTAAAAATGAACCCTTTTCCCTTTCTTTTGTAAACGTCTTCTCCCAGAGTTGTGGTTTACCCTGTTATCTCTCTCTCTCTCTCTCTCTCTCTCTCTCTCTGTGTGTGTGTGTGTGTGTGTGTGTGTGTGTGTGTTGCTTTATTTTTTTAGATTTGGGCCCTCTTGCTCACCTAATGTAAGTGTAATGATAACAAAACAAGCAGTATTTTAGGCAGAAATACTCTATTTATTCACAACATTTACATGATCCATATGCATAAATAAAAAACATAAAACAAGGCTATTTACATGGCGTGTTGTGCATTGTGCAAACTAAATGTATTTGCGTGCGTGTGCCCGATGAAGTTGAAATAGTGGTGATCGAGTCCCGGCACCGGCGACAAGTATCCACCGTGCTGTTGTGTGTGGGCAGAGAGTGGCACTGTTGGGTATGAGATGCCTGGACTGCGGGCTGAGCTGTGCCACGAGAAGTGTCCCGGTGGACTCTGTTGGTACACGGAGTCACTGGGGCTGTGGTTTTGGTGCTCCGGGGAGGAATGCAGCTGGCTGAGATATTCAGACGGTTCTGGCATCGCGCCGACAGAGCCAAACACAGGCTCGGTGACCACACGGGACTTTGACTGTAAAAAGGCGAGGATCCTTGCGTACTTGATGTCTTTGGTTTCAGCTCTATCCTCTGTGGTCAGGTAGTGCACCAAGTTCTTCATACACTCGTGGTATCCGTAGTGGAAGTAGTTTGCAAATTCAGCAAGTAGTTCGCCTGAAATTAGCCAAAACAAGTGCTGGTTAGAACCCTGCGGGTGACATGTTGAACAACCACTTCGTGGTTTTTGTGGCTCATTCTGGTGCGTAAAACTGGGCATCCGGTGAAACATACATTAAAAAAATAAAGTCTGCCAAATTTTACACGACCAGCACGTTTGAAGCTTTTAACTTAGCTGAGAGAATGATGGTAATGTCATGCGTAAAGTACAAGACTTTACTGACCTTTCTCTCTCCCGCGTGGAAAGTCCGCTGAGTGGAGCGCTCGCAGGTACTGAACCGTCATCTCCAAGATTTCAGCTTTCTCTAGTTTTCCAGAATTCTGAGAAAAAATGAATCGTTAAAATTATTTTTAAAAACATTTTAAAATGTTTACATATATAGAAGACTGGACTGCCCTATTAACTTTTTTAGATGTTATATAATAAAGCTAGTCAACAATAAATATCCGATACATTTCACAGTACCTGTTTAGCCAACGCCATTGGAACTGTTTTTCCCAGTTCGTTCAGGCAACGATTAATGCGGTCCCGTCTTCTTTTCTCGATGACTTTGTGGGAGATTGGAGTTCTCTGTGAAAACAGGGAAAGAGACATCATGAGTAAACGGAATCGTTGTATTGCCGCCCTTTTACGGTCCTAAACAAGCCATTTTTTTTAGAAAGGAAATCCACAATTTCGAAATACGAAATAATGTGGAAGAGATCCTAAGAAGAGCTACAAATCCTGGCGGGTTTTGCGCGTCGCGCGCTGCGCTGCTCCAGGAGCGCGCAGCGGCCACCTGCGCTCTGGACAAATTCGTTATCTCTGAGGCAAGTAAACGATACTCTGACTATCGTTTAACGAGTGTAACACATTATAAAGGTTTGTGATAAATGGATTCACACTGCTGCCACCAGATACTGCCGAACTGCATAATATGGTCTTTCACCTCAACAGAAGTTAGGCTTCTCTTTAACGCGCGCCACATGGAGATGCACAAAAGCGTTTTACTCCTCTAAAGTGAAAAGTCCGGGAGATAGCAGTTTTACACTTTTAGCTGTATATAGAGAAGCAAATAATTCCAACAGTGTACTCAAAAGTCGTTAAAAGTGCCAGGTTCCAAATTATTTCTGTCCTCAAAATGCCGAGCGCACAGGGAGCGCATACCTTCCTGTCTTTCATTTTAGATGCCATCAACGAATCCCTGATAAACGTCTTAAAAATGAATTTAGCTCGAAGCTGTAGAGATGTCCTGGTCTGGAAGGTGAAGGAGAAGACTGAGGTTTGAGCAGAAAGCTGTCGTTTATAAAGGATCCATCCAAGGGACTCTCGCATTCATGGTGTAAATTATTCCATGGGATTAGAGACATGCATTGGGTAAATGTGTGCATTTAGGATCAGTTAAAGAAATAGTAAAATCTAAAGCCATAGGCTAGCAGGGGGGCAAACCTGCTTTGTTAATCCACGTGGCTGTTCAAAAGACACGTGATTACTTTTGGAATATTATTTGCATAGTAACAACCCAGGCGGGAAATAAGAACTGAGCGCTGGGATCGGCTGATCCGGCGGGGCGCACTGTGCGCACTGAAAACAAAGCCGGCGAAAAAAAGAATCGCTTTTTCTTCCAACTCGCGTTTCTCACACGATCGCCTGTTTACAAATCCCAGCAAGCGATCTTAACTCTCATCCAAGCCCGGTCCGAGTTTTAAGGCCTGTCCAGTGTCATTAGAGTAATTAAGTAAGCCTTTAATAGGCTGTTCCGCCAAGTTCAGGGGAGATCTTTTGGAGACGGAGTCCCCCCGTTTGTTCCCGGCGCTTCTCACACGACTTGGTGACACGTCCATCTTTTATGAGAGATGGCAAGCTTTTTGTTTACATTCTTTATTTTGTTGGACTCCTCGGCAGGTGTGTGATTAGCCCTGGCACACGAGCGTCGTCCGCGTCAAGGCCAGCGTCTCCAGCAGCCTCTGGCACACGAGGGTTACCCACCACTGGAGACTCTTTGGAGAGGCTCAATTTGTATCCTATTATCCTATAAGAAAATGTCTATTCACTCGAATGAATAGTTTCATTGGCCTAAATTTTAATAATGCTGTGAAAGAAAGGGAGAAATAAAGAAGAATGCAGCTGGTGTGAACGCGCATTATTCCCCGTCACCTGCAAGATGGGTAGCCTGGAGACCCCTATTCATTTGCCTAATTTCGGTCAACTTAACAAACTTTGGGAGAAATTATACTGCCATTGTTATGAAGGGTGAAGCTTTCTGATCGAATTAACAGCATGTTTTGATCCGGTAAATGTCATTAGAAAGAAAGAAACAATCGCGTTTAAAGGGGCCTGGGTAATGCGCCAAGTGGAGACGCCAAAGCGCAAACAGCACAAAGGGTGCTGGTAAATGCCACAGGGGACTTTTGTACCCTCACATTGCTGAAGTTTTTCTCCCAAACAAAGGGCATTATTTTATACTTGAATACATTTCATACAACAATTGGCTGTTTTCTTCAAACATATTTTCACAGCAAGGTTAACAACAGATTTATTGTGTGCGCTCCTTCTCACAGATTCAAAGTGCTCTCATGCGCCAAAACAGTTTGATCCAGCTCCTTTTTTTTTTCTTCCAATGAGAACGTTTTAATCTCGAAACTTTCACTGTGCTTGGATATATTTGATCCTGTGAGCGATGTCGACGAATTAATAGCAGCGGAGATCGAGAAAGAAAAGCTCACAAGACATCTGAAGCTTTTGGAGAGTTTTTAGAGCACCATGGAGAGAAAAGCGCGAGCGTGCGGGACGGGGGCATAAAATCCAATTACTTGAGTGTGGAGTTTTTAACACTTTTTTTATGTGTTTGTCCTTTGAAATATTGTGGGACTTGTGCGCTGTTGCTTTTGTAAAAGAAACTGAATTAAATACTGGAAGTTTTTGCTGTCAGACTTTAAACGACAGAGTTGCGTCAGAAGGAAACCAACTCGTGAGTCGGGGTTTCTCAGCATAACGGTTTTTGTTTCGTAGTGATGCATTAAATGTATTTCATATTCAGATAATTATTGTTGGTAAAACTTCGAATGTTTTAATAAATGGGATATATATTAATAGTTTTTTGTGCCTTGTCAATGAAATCACTCATCTGTCAGCTTTTATCACACCGTGTTTCTCCTTCTTTCTCAGCTTCTGTAACATTTTTGCAGCAAATTAACTGCTTAACTTTTAGTTTGTTCAGGAGCAAAAGCATTACAATCTTTTTTAGAGCATATTAAACAATCTACTTTGAATGAAATCAAACTGCTGCAGTGTCTGTACACGCACTGGGCACAGAATCGCGCTTTCTGGGCTGATTTATCTCGTGCGCACTTGCATTCAGTCGCAAAGCAAGCACCTGTTGAACACCACAGAAAGAAAAAGTTCTTACGGCATTAAAAAACAGCAAAAATGTGTAGATTACTTTTGTATTAGCTAATTTAATTCAATTTACTGAGAAATAAACTCTAATGCGGACTTTTGACACAAGAGCGCATATGAATAAATATGCATTTAAATATCACTCTGTTCCCCTAAAATGGCACAAAATGGCAAATGGTATAAAATGACATTTAAGAGATCTTAGCGAAAATGTAACACAGCTAACTGAATATAAATCAGATGTGAATTCTCTTTGTGAACATTTTAATACATTTATTGTATATATTTAATAATAGTGTAGTAGTGTATGTTTAAAGTGAGCCTATAGTATTCCTAACAGGACACATCGCTCATGTTAAATCCATTTTTTAGTTTTACTTTACATGCAAAAGTAGATCATCAAGATGTGAACATAAATCAGATGATTAAGACTCTTTTTGTATGATAATGGTATATGTAGCTCATGTGTGCATGATCAGTTTTTTCTTGCTAAAATTAACTTTTTTGTACAGTTATATCAGCGGGCTGCTAAGGAAATTCAGTGTGGATGTGCAAATTGTTTCTGTTGTCTGTTCAAAGCTCCAGTTTGCACATAAAAGAATAATATTCACCCAGAGGATCTGTTTTTAAGATGACTGACAAGTATCCCTGCGGGAGTCTGGTGCAATCTTTGCATTTTAGGTTATTTTCTAATCATAATAATTTATTTATTTTATTTTATTGCAAATGGCATCACTGCGAGATAAAAGCCCCCACTGAAACACCATAAACAAGCCTCCAGTCACGAAGCCTAACAGCGGCTCAGTGTGCAGCAGTAGCCGCTGTGGACCGTGTTGTCAGGCGCTGCGCTCTGACCCGTGGTGACCTCTGAGGGTCCCAGACACAATCCTTTGGCTTGGTGCGCCACCCTCCGCCTGAACTGCAGCAGTTCACACGGTCCCCAATGAGCCCGTGGAAATGATCTAAGCTGAGTTCAGACTGCATGGTTAAGCAGCTTCAGGGCCCCTTTGAAAAACGAAGACTGGAACTATTTAAGCCGTTAAAGCTAGAGAAGGAAGCTTGTCCGTTTAAATTCAGACTATTCCCAAAGTAATATCTGGGCCTTTGTCAGAAAAATGCTATTTAATCATAGAGTATAAAGAAATCTGCAAAAATATGTGTGAACGTTGCATAAAATACAAACATTCACATACCTCTAAATTACAGTTTTTTATATTTTGATATAGGAGAAACATTGACTATCATTACACTCTTTAAAGTTTTAACACTTAAGTCATATTAACACAAGACAAGCATCTGGGACTGTAATATATAAAGTTGAGGACATCTTGTCTCAGAGCAATGCTGTCCAAAACTAGTCCAACTCTCTCTGAAGGGCCTTCCGTTGATACTGACAAAGACCAGAAAGACACATCGCCCATATTTAAAGTCCCACATAGTCATCATCATCACAGAGCTCTTCCTTTTTCCTAACTGTGATTCATTAATTTCTTTTTTCATAAATTAGAAAGGAAGGCAGACTTATCAGACTCTGGGGTAACTTCTTGACTTTTAAAACGAAGACTCAAAACGTACACGTTTGGCAACGTTTTGCGTTTACACCGCCAGTTTGCATGCCATCAATTTATCTTTAAATGTCTTTCTGCAGATATCTCCTGCTGAACAGCATGTTTCTGATCAGCAGTTACAGAAGTCTTACATTACTACTGAGCCACAAGAAGCTTACAATAAACACATTTTCTCCGCAACAAATTATATTGTAATTTTGTCAGAGAGAATTTAGATCCTTTAAAGGAGGCTTGTGATCAAATACTCAACAACAGAAATAATAGCTGCTCTAATGGCAAAAGCGCTCCCTCTTGTGCTACATTCCGGGAAATGCAGTGGCCAGGATCTTTATGCAGAGACACTGTTCATTATGCTTTCTTTTAAAGACAAATAAACAATATTATAGTGCTCCAGATTACTGTGGTATGTGATAGATGATTTCCACTGCCAGGAAAAACTCTTTAAAATAAGTTATATAGTCATAAAGTTATATGTCATATATGGTAGTCTTAAAAGAAAATAACTGGACTTCTGAGAACCTGCAGAGGCATTCATCTTAAATCATTTGAAAATATTGGGATTGGGTTTTATTGTTTTGTTTTGTTTTTTGTCAAGCACTCAAACAAGTCCATGAGAGTTCAACGGGGTAAGTTAGCTGTGTGGTGTTTGCAGATAAACCTAATGAAGAAACGGAAAGGGTGACTTTTGGTGAATTGTAAACTTCTCTGAATGTAAATACTAAATACAAAATTGCATTTAGTATTTACTTGGGTTATCTTTTTCTAATATTAGAGTTTGTTTGATGATTTGAAACATTTAAGTGGACCAAAAAAAAAAGCGAAGTACTCTGGAGGGGGACCTCAGGATCAACGGTCAACAAGAATTTTAGAAATACTATGTTAGATATATTATAATTCAGTCCACTTCTAGTATATATTTTTTTAAAGTTTCATAAAAGTTTAAATTTGCTGTAGTTTAAAAATACTAAAGTCATCTTAAAGAGGCTTTCCAATTCCCAAAGCTTCAAATCTCACAGAAAATTGGACGTGAACGTCGTATCCAAAATAGAAAGATTACATAATGGTTCCCACAATTGTTTGCAGTTTAAGTTGTTCATTGGCTACGGTCTAAATTTAACAAGTGCATACAGCTGTGAAAAAGGTAGAATGTTTCCCTTTCCGATAGTGGCTTGTAGTAGTGTGAAATGCAGCATATGAGTACATATGTAATGTAAATGCTTATCTCTAAACTGTAGTTGGTAAAAATTTGACAGTATGCTTGTTTACTTTGTACAACTCGGTGCTGTTTGTAAAGCCAGAGTTATCAGAGGTGGTTACGATGTAGGTGAGGGGAACAGGTCACCTTTAACCTCTCTGGTGGTGATATAACAGACTGCCAGTGACTTCATAGCGAGCATTATTGATTCTCTGTTTCAGAGTGTG